AAGTCGACTTTTCAAAGAGGTGATATCTTGATAATATCACGCTGGATAGACAATTTTCCAGCAGGAAGCCTCGTTTGGAAGTGCTTATTACTGAATTTATTTACTAATTTGCTTATTATTTAATTGTTGAAATATTTCCACTCGTCCTTTTGACCACAAGACCCGAGTTCGAATACCATCAGAGTCGATTTAGCAAGGAGATGATATATTGATAATATCACACTATAGAGACAATCACATCCATCGGTCTCGTTGGGAAGTACCTGGTAACCGTAGCATGTGTTGAATCAAGTCTTATGGGTGAAATTTGGAAGGTAAAACTGTTTGGAAACCATCGATGGTTGTACTGTAGGAATTATTATAATTGCAACCATGCATTCACCTGTGAATCTGGTTTCACCATTAAATGACTCATAATGGTATTGATATGCCGTTGAACAACCAAAGCACTCAATATCTTGCACTGTAGAATTTCTCCCGGATTTTTCTCTCAATGACACATGGCCCAGTAGAAAAAAGCGTTGGTTGAATCTAGTGACTTGACCCAAAAAGTCGTGAGTTCAATACCGGGCTAAAGCAGAGCTGAGCAAAAAATTTGAGATTTGTTTTAAAGACAAATGACTAATACTGAGAGGCATGGCACGTGCAAATAAAGCAATCTACCGGGATGGACGAAATAATGGATTCAGTTCGAAATTCCAGTCATCTGAATAAGGCCGGAGTGTACAACGACCCTTACCTCACAGTCGGTGGGGGTGTAAACGGTAGTGTCAGAGCTATGCCGCCCGGAACTTCGTTCCTGGTAGGGCCACCCAAGGCGGACAGGTCTGACACACACGCCGGCTAATAAGGGCTCTGGTGAAAATCCAAGGAGCGTCTGCATCGGCAAACGGCGGCTTCTGGTCGTTCCTGTCTCTGCGTCTTTGGGAACCCCGCGGCAAGCAAGAACGTTATCCGAGTAGGCCTGGGTACCCTACTTCTGTAATTTATCCCAAGAATCTTCTTCTCATAACAGGAAGAAGCCGGCTCAATCCGCCCAGGGTGAATGCCGCATCAGTACAGTACAGTACAGTAGTAGTACAACGACCGAAACGTCGTGAGTATGGCAACGAAGATGAGGACAACAGTCCGAACAATGTAAGCATTGTAAATAATTATAATGCTTCATCGCAGAAATATAGACAAGTAAAGATTTTATTTTGAATTATGCGATAGAATAAAGATGCTCTTCCTCAAATAGATGCACTTTGGGTTGAGATGTTTCGAAACATTGTCTTGTCGGCAATTTATTACTTACAGTTCGTCTATTTTATCTTTATTAAATCAAATATTTGTCATAAATAGGAAAAAAAATAATGAGGAAAGATGACTTGTGGAATATAACACCCGCAGGCCATTGATATATAATTAATAATAAGGACACATGGCACAGTCGATAAAGGCGTTAGTTAGATCCAGTGACAGAGCTCAAAGAGTGTGAGTTCAAGACCTGGTTAAGGCGGTGGAGAACTTGGAGAGAAAAATTAACAGGAGATAACTGATAACTGACATCCATTAAACTACAACAGTCTACCCCAGTGAGCGAAATAAAGCGTTCAGTTGGACATTCCAACTTCCTGAAGAAGGCCGGGACGTACAACGGTCGAAACGTTGTAATAAATATGGTGACAAGGATGAGGATAATAGTCCGAATAATGTAAATAGTGTTTTAAAAGGGGTTTACTCCCAGAGGTCATTGAGGTTTGCTTTGTTAGATGTTGGTGTAACATTGAGTGTTGTGTCATATGAAAGTAAATATAACAATAAACTATTTACAGAATAAGCCTACGGGACTCTCAAGCTGAAAACACAGGTTTTCGTTCGATCACCGAAGTTAGGCAACGTCCTGTCTGGTCAATACTTAAATGGGGAAACTCCTACAATACTAAATATATGTCTGTACGAAATAACCCCCAAGTGTCACTAAACTAATGAATCAATTTCAGAATAACGTGAAACAGTTCGTACTGAATAAACTAGGTGAGTGTTCGATATTGACCTTGTAGAGAGCCATGACCCATCATGGCATGTCATATATTGCTAAGATAGATTTATACCACATCCAGGTAAACGTATTCATCAACCAACTTACACGTGAGTTCTTGGAATCATTATTTAAGTAAGATGGCCAGCGTGATGTACACACAATTAAACGCATGCCTCATTGATCCTATGAAAATGAACTAAAGAAATGTTTACATGAAATTTAAGCGTTTAATCCACGAGTCCCTTCGGTTCGAATTAATTTCTCGGACAAATGAACAAGAGAACTCAACCTTAAAAGCAAGGTACCAAGGCATAGTTTATCGATTTAGTTTAGAATTGCTTAAAAATCGTCTAAGGATTGCTGAACATGATTTTTCAATCAGAAGCTAATTTATTTTGAGAGAAAAGAAACATAATGCTTATTTCTGTCGTAAATGGAAAGAAGATGTTTCTACAATTGTTGTCTCGTTCATTTTCGGCTTTGTTTATTTATAAAAAAATATATTTTTAATAGTTTAAAAAGAAATAAAAGAAAACGTAAAAGAAATGCAAATGCTGCACTGAATACTAGTTATAGCTAATAATTTTAAACGCATATAATGTGTTCAGTAATGTGCATTCTGGGCGAGTAACATGTAACAATGTTGGGCTTTTATTGCGGTTTTCAGATCATGTTTAATCAGTTCACAAAAAAACAAGGCAGTAAAGCCACTAAGACACAAAGGGTTACTGAGTGCGGAAGAATAAGAAAAATGAGAAACATTATTAACGAGCAAGAACAATAAAAGAAGGCAGTAGATAGCTGTTGACATTAAATTTAAATCTTTGAAGATGGCTGGAAAGCAAAAAGCCGGAAGAGATTTCCACAAACGAAAAGTACAGGGAAATGAAACGAAACCTTTTAGCAAAATAAATTAATTATATGATTTTAGTTGATTTTATTTAGCGGCATATCAAACATTATGGGTTATTTAATGACAAAACCTAAATGTTCGGAAAACAATTTTATGGACTTAAGCACAGCTAAAATATATTGTTGGTAATTTATTTTTATATAAAAATGTATTTTTTATACTTTTATAATTTTGCTTTTATTTTGGGATCACTATTTCCCCATAGGTGAAGTCCTAACTGGTGCAGCAATTTAGACGCGGTTCCACGTTACTGGGAACCACTAGTCTCCCGATCAGAAACATGGCAGCTGGATGTAGTTTATCGTCATACCGAGGGCTATTAACTATAAGATAAAAAGAGAGTTTACTGTTTACCGTTTTGTAAGATAACTTTTCCCAAAGATTATTGGCAGTTCAATATTGGTCGACCTAAGTTTGAGTCCTTGATACATACTATAGCAATTATAGTCAAAAATATTTGCAGGGCGTTTTAAAAGGGGTTTACTCCTAGAGACTATTGACGATACTTCAGTAACTGTTGGTCTAAGATTGAGTGCTGTGTCATATGAAAGTAAATATAGTAAACTTATAAACCATCGACAGAAAGGGTCTACGGATCTGTCAAGATGAAAACACAGATTAATTATTAAAAATGGTTTTCAATAGATAAGACCCTGTACGTCAAGTCGAGGACCATCCTTGTGCGAACAACGTGAACATGCGCTAAAGAAACACAGAGAATTGAAACCACATCACTAAACCCGTTCAAAAAAATATCTAAATTGTTATCTATATACAACAGCTTTCTCAGATTAATTATTAAAAACGGTGTTCAGCGCATGAGACGCTGTACGTCATAAAGACGACCATCCTTCTACAAACCCCGTTCCAGTACCCTAAAGAATCACAAAGAATTTTGCCAAATAACAGAAACCACTTCACCAAATCCGTTCAGAAATATCTAAACTGTCATCTCTCTACAACAGCTTTCTCAGATTAATTATTAAAATATCTTTCAGCGGATGAAACCCTGTACGTCTTGACGAGGACCATTCTTCTACGAACCTCTTGGTCATACGCTAAAGAATCACAGAGAATTGTGCCAAATAACAGAAACCACTTCACCAAACCCGTTCAGAAATATCTAAACTGTCACCTCTAGACAATAGCTTTCTAAGATTAATTATTAAAAACGACATTCAGTGCATGAGACGCTGTATGCCATAACGATGAATATCCTTCTACAATCCTCGTCCCAAGAGCTTTCTAAGTTTAATTATTATAATATCTTTCAGTGGATGAGACTCTGTACGTCTTGACGAGGTTCATTCTTATACGAACCTATTGGTTATGAGCTAAAGAATCATGGAAACCACATCACCAAACACGTTTGATCACCGAAGTTAGGCAATACTTAAATGGGAAAACTCCTACAATCCGAAAACAGTCTCGGTATAAAATAACCCTCTAATTGTCAATAAACTATTAAAAAATCAAACCTCTGAATGATTTGAAACAGTTCGGACCGAAGTAAACTGCGTAGGGGTTGGATATTGACATGTTACATTTCTATTTAGCTTAAACTGTCCATGTTCACCTAATAATGAGAAAGGCCTGAATCATATCAATTTGCACGCTCTCATCGCCAGGCCGCCGAATCTTAAGGTCAGTTATCATCTTGATAAAAGTCCTTATTCCTGCTTTACCTATCATTAGCAGATATCTTATGAAATAATTATTCACCTCTGAAGGGAGAGTAAATACTTCAACGTAAAATTTGAACAAACTACCCTCTCAAAACTATTTCATTATTCATTGATTGTTTCATTTTCTACTGTTTATTAGACCTTTGCAGGTTATTTAAAGCCAGCATATATATATTTAAATTGGAAAAATCTTTCTTTTTTTGCGATAATAATTATTTTAGTGATACAATTTTTACTAATTAACCCATAGCTGGAGGAAGAACAGGTGGATTAATACCTTTTCTAGTGCTATTTCCGCGTAAGTGAACATAATGAACCTAACGGGAATTGGAACTCTGCTCCCCGATTAAAAAAGCCGAACCATGTTCCATGCTTACAGAATTTGGTATTCCCAGGCGGTCGCCCATATAGATACTGACCAGGCTCGACGTTGCTTAACTTCGGTATTTGTACGGGAACAGGTAATTTAACGGGAGTTGACTGTATGCACTTATTATGCAGGCTGTGAGAGAAAGTTATTTTACACCCATCGTCAACCGATGAATGTTGGACATAAAAAAAACAGGTTTCCAACTGTTTCAATATTTGCCTCAACGAAAAAAAAAAAACCGTAAAGATTCTGCTCGACAGGAAATTATTTTAGCGCCCCCATTTCTCTGACACGAGACATAGTTTCGCTTTTTTTTGTTTTGTTTTGGTTTTGGTTTTTATCAATAACAATAAAAATAAATAAATAAAAACACAATATGTTTTATCTTGATTTTCGCTTGCAACAAGCAACATAAAGGAGAACATTAAACAAACTTCACCAGTTCTGTGAATCCTCGTAAGATTTAATATCTTCGAAGAACTTAGAATTGAAAACATACAAATGTAAATCTCTTATTTCATTGCGTATGGTCGTAGAACAATGTTTAGCCTGTTAGTCGTGCAAACAATTACTCGTGTACAGTGTTTGTTTCCGAATGGGTGTGCCTACCTTTAGAATATAATTACATTAAAAAGATAAAAATGAATAACAAATGGATAATACGAAAACATTGGTCTTTATGGCCGCTTTGCTGTGGAATAACACTAACCATATAAGCCATAACTGCAATAATGAGATCAATCCGCGCATAAATATAACAATATCTTGCCGTGAAACATCTTTTGCAGTGATGTTGACTCTGTACAAAGCCCAAGAATCGCTCAAAGAAGAAGATAACAAATTAAGAAGGACAATTTTTCGAGTTATGTGGGTAAGATGAGGGTTCATCTTAGATTTGAACAGGTTAAGTTTATCGTGATCAGGGAAGCGTTCTCTTGGGAATCTATTTAAGAAACTAACGGTTCGTGTGAAGAAGCTGCTCGACTATGAATGTCATCTTACCAAAGGAAAATAGGGGTCGTTACATTTGCCTGGCATGGCGGACCTTAGTCGAGAATGTTAGAACTTTTGAAAACTAAGGAATGTAAATCGTCTGAATGCTTTCCATTGAATTCTCGGCCGAGTCCATCCTTCAGATCTATAAATCAACCATTCACCCTTGCATGGAATACTGCTGCCATATATGGTCCGGTACCCCCGCTGTTGGCCTTAAGGTCATCAACAAAATCCAGAGACGGATATGCAATGTGGTATGGCGTCTCGTCTACAGTCGCTCTCTCACAGACGTGCCGTGGCTTCCCTCTGTCATTTCTACAAATACTTTCACGGTAACTGCTCCGACGAGCTACTTTCGCTAGTTCACAGACTGCATAAATTTAAACGTGCTACTAGGTTGGCATATCGGTCCCACCCTTTCAATGTCGAAACAGTTAAATGTAACCGTCTCTTCTACTCCAATAGCTTAATGTCTCGCACCTCCCGTCTGTGGAATTCCCTTCATATTACTTGATAGCTATAATGTCCAATTATTAAAATGTAATGTCAATCGACATCTCCAAATGCACTTATCCCTGCAGTTCTCTTCATCCTTTCCTACATCACGACTCTTTACTCTCGCTCTCACTCTCAGTAACCCCTTGCGTGTTAGTGGCATCTCTCCTTGCTTCGGTGAATTGGTTAAAAAAACGATAGAGCAGCCAAAGGCTTGAGACGTTTCGCCTGGGAAAAAACGGGTTCTGGGATGGAAAATAATTCCACATCCACATTTTCGATCTGATCTCTCTCTCTCTCTCTCTCTCTCTCTCTCTCTCTCTCTCTCTCTCTCTTGTAAAGGTAGAGATGAGAAGAGGTCAGCTACTTAATGGAGCCACTTGAGTTCTGGGTTGAGATCAAGATCTCTTGGGCGTCCCAAGGCACGTGGCCTCCCTGAGTGAACACGTGTTTTCGCGATCGGTGAAATTTCTAGGTCCGATCGGTGATGATTGAACGTTTCTAATTTGGTTTTCACGGAACTGAATGAGCAATTAAACACATTACTCATGTCCTTACATCGATAGAAGTGCTTTAGCAGAAGAAGCATAACTCCAAATATGGGGAAATATTTTAAGTATATTTTTACAATAATTCTTAGCCGGTTTAAAACACTAGAGACTGTAGTAATGAAAGCAGAATCCTCTTAGGAGTCGATTCAATAAAGCACCAGCTCTCTCTCGCTCTCGCTGTCCCCATATATATATATATATATATATATATATATATATATATATAATTATTTATTTAAAATTATGATTCCAGCGCTACATAAGAGTTCTCATATTTCAAAACAAGAGCCGAAAATTTCAATATAATTATTTGAATTAAATTGAATTAAAGTACTAAGATCTGTTCCATCTTCAAACGAAATTTTTACTGGAAACTTTAATACAATTTAATTCAAATAATTATATTGAAGTTTTCAGCTCTTGTTTTGAAACATGAGAACTCTTATGTACCGTTGGAATCATATTTTTAAATAAATAATTATAGTTATGCTCTACTTTTGTATCGAGCACTATTTTTTAAAAATAATAACAAAAATACTAAAGAACTTTGGATTATTTACCTAACGAGTTCTATATATTTTTATATATTTTGATATATTCTATTTTCTATATATTTTTACACACATACACACACACACGTAAATATATATATATATATATATATATATATATATATATATATATATATATATATATATATAGACATTTTATGTTTATACATTCTTTTTATAGATATAAATATTTAAGTAAATGCTCTCTTTATAATAAACAGTATTAAACAACATTTACCGGCCTGAATGTCCGAGAAATTTTCACAGAAAATATTCGTCCTCCGACAGGATTCGAACCTGTATCCTTTTCGGGACCGTCATTTAGCTTGACGTGCATTTATTGATTAGTCACACACACACACACAGACACACACACACACACACATAATCTTCAATCATAACATTTCCCCCATTAGCAACTGAAATTCACATGAGCATCTTTCTATTTTTTATTTTTCGAAGTATCATCACTCCATTTCTCCTATTAAATAATGTTAAGTTGATGGTATGAGAAAATTGTCTCATATAGGAAGTTTTTTCTCATAATATGATTTATATAGAATTGTTGTGTTTTGAACCAGAATTTTCATTAAGGGTGGGTTCTTGTAGAGTATGGATAATAAAGGTTTTATTCGAGAGGCACTATATATCAAACAATTCTCTCCTACCATCAAACATAAACTCTCCCTCTTTGTCTGCAACTCTCTACCCCGAGTTGTTCTCGGTCCTCATGCAGGGCGAACATTTTATATATATATATATATATATATATATATATATATATATATATATATATAAACTGAGTATTTATATGAATAAGTTTAAATAAGGAATGAAGACTGTTTTTTATAAATATTTTAACTATATATTTAGTTTCTAAAATGATAATGTCTTTATTGGGCTGGATTAGGTACGTTGATTTTATATAAACAAAGCATTTCATTAATTGTGGGAAAAGTCAATATTTATTATTTTTGAGTCAGTTGGCAATTAATTGGTGGGATGCGATATTTCATCATCACCGACTCAACACCGTCGACTCAACACAACCGACGCAAAACCGGCCAACTAATCTCCGTAACTACTCAACTCCAGGACAAACTCACCACCAACCTTCTCAGCTTGAGAACAACTCAACACTGGCGCCGAATCTATAGCTTCAGAACAGCGTTGGCTGTCATAGTGTGCACATCCTTATAGATTCGCTTTGCTGAATGTTTCCTTATAGGGAAACGCTTAACATTATTATATTACCATTACGTTAGATAAACAATTATTGCCATATTTTAATGTCACTAATTTTAAGCAAGCATCACCAAAACGTAAAAGTTAATACGATTAATACATCGACGATACTCGCTACTAGCTTAGGAGATAATAGTTTTTGAGTTCGCTAAAGTTATGAAGTGACAACACTGTCGTAAATGTCTCATTTAAGTACAAAATTGGAATAAACTCCAGGAAAAACAAATATCAGAGCAGGCAATAAACCAAATTACGCGTGTATGCCCCATTATGTGTTTAATTACGAGTACAATAGGTGAAACACATTCCTGCCGAAGAAATCAACTCTCTAAGCGAGTATCTGAAAATTCATTACGCTTTTAATTCGTTTATGTTGAAAATGATAATAAAAAACTTCAGTTCTTAAACTCAGATGGATGATGCGTAAGGATTTGTCGACAGAAAAGGGGGGAAAGATCAACTTTGTTTTTTCTAGGACAAAACTTATATTTTTCCCCGCCTTATTCGCAGGCTTGAAAAATAAATGCAATGCAGAGACGTCGAAAGAAAACTAGGTATTACCGTAAAGCGTGGATTTGATCAATTTAAGAATCGTATGCAATGATGGTGTAATGGATAGCGCTTCCGATTGAGGAATCATAGAGCCGAGTTCGAATTCCAGTAGAATCTGTTCATTTGGGGAAATATATAAATCCCCTTTTTCTCCCCTCCTATGCGTAACATAAGGACAGACCGGGTTCTATAGCCTTGGATGGCAACTGGTCTGCCAAAGAAAGAAATAGCATCCTACTGCGGGAAAGAAATCTGCCTCGCCAGTTATGTATTGAAAGTTATGTCACATAACTGCAGAAGCCAGCACCTCAAGATGCGAGCTTCAAGCAAGTACGGAAATTTAATGAGCTGGGAAGTATTTAATAAACGACAGAAAATTTCTCATAAAAATCCGAAACTGCATTGGTAAAAAAGAGAAACGGTGTATAGTATAAACAAAAATAAGAAAGAGAAAATTGTGACGAATTCTTTATGCAATATCAGTTCTTTTATATGGCAATGAATACGATGCATTTAGCTCCCAAATGATGAAGAGACATGAAGCAATAAAGATGAGCTTCTCAAGAATGAGACTGAAAATTCCATCAACGCAGCATCTGAGCAATTTCTTCTATGTGCCATGTAACTTCAGGAACTAAGCGATCATGACCCTCCGCATCGTCCTGTCCTTCGTAGTTCTTAATAAGTTTTGTATTTTCTTTCTTTCTCCCAA